AGGGGGTCAGGGTCAGGGTCAGGGTCAGGGGTGGCAGAGTGGTAGAAGTGAAGCATTGCATAGGTGCTGCTCCGACAGAGGAATACACGAATCGATGAAGCAGAAGAATCGAGTTCAAGGCTAAACAAGGTGGTATCATCGCTAAATCCAAACACGTCTTCACCTCTCCATGCGCTCGTCGTGAATCAAGTCGACGTTGAACCGCTCATCCCCCTTCCACACCTTGCCGCCGTCGTTGCAAGCCGCGACCGCCGCCCTCGCATCCGTCATCAGCCCGCCAGGCCCGCTCGCAAACACGACCGTCCTGGCGGCGACAGTCGCCTGCACAAACTCACGCACGAGCAACGCCAGGTCCGGGTGTCCGAGGCCGCCAGAGCGGACACTGGCCGCCGCGCCACGAGCACGCATCTTCTGCACGGCCACAGCACCGGCAGCGCGCTTCTCTTCGTCGGCCTCGCCTTCGGACGAGCGGTCGGCATCAGATGAGCTCGAGGCGGCATCGCGCGTGGCAAAGATGCGCACCGTCACATCGAGGGCCTCAAGTGCGGCCAGTTCAGGCTTGACCCAGTCGACATCCTTGGCGTGGCGGACGACCCAGATGAGCTCGAGCTTGCGAGGCGAAGCAGGATTGGCGGTCAGGCTGAGGAGGGCGGGCAGGACGTACGTGATGCCGGTGCCGCCGGCGACGCACAGAATGTTGGCTTCGGGGGTGATGTTGCGCATGATCGGGTCACCGTAGGGACCGGTGAGCACGACAGGCATCGTCGGGGCCGAGGCCGCCGTGATCACACCCTCCTTGTCTTCGGATGGTGTCGCGGATGCAGTAGCGGCGGCCGCCAGCTTCTTCGCGGCGATCTGTGCGATCTTCTTGGTTTCGCCGCCCTTGGCCCGGAAAACGTACGAGTGCTTGGTGCGGCCGTTGACAGTGACGGCTGCGTTCAGCGGGGTGAACGGGTGAGACTGGAAGATGCTGCTCTCGGTGAAGCAGAGGTAGAAGTGCTGGCCGACCGCCCAGGCATCGTGGGGGTGTTCAAAATCGAGACGTACGACGTCGCCATCCTTCTCGTCAGGGAAGGTGGTAATGGCGGCGTGAGCGGCAACGAAACCACGCTTGGTGCCATCCACAAAGTTGTAATGCAGCAGGAACGTCCTGGCGGCACGGGCGAAGCGGTCGATGAACCACAGCAGGATACCGGGGATGATGAATCACTGGAGACCCTCCCAGTGGCCGATGCAGGCGCCCATGTAGACCAGGGCCAGAACGTAGTGAGACTTGCGGAAGAACTCGTAGCCGGTGAAGCGGATGACAGGAGGTAGCGTGAGGGCGTAGAGGATGAGAAGCAGGATCATGGCGACGACACCCCAAATCATGTAGAGCTGCACGATCCACTTCTTCGCAACCTGGGGCTGGGGCTGGTAGAGCTTGACCTCAATGATTGTCCAGCCAATGGTGTGGACAATGGACTGGACCATGATGATGTAGCCGAGCCAGCGGTGCATAAAGTTGAAATTCTGGTAGGGAATGCCGGTCAAGACGGACAGCAGCGACTCGCGGTTCGACAGGAGAACGGACAGCGGCGTCAGGGCGTAGGCGAGGACACCGACACGGTCAGAGAAGGGTCCCAGACTGCTGCGGGTGTTGTAGACGCCCTCCATATTCTTGACGGGGGTGATCCAGATGCCGTAGACGATGCCGACGAAGGAAAATATGGTAAGATAGCCGGTGAGGATGGCAAGCACGAGAACCTGCAGGCGCGTGGTGCGGCCAAAGATGGAGCGGATAGAGTCGGGCAGGAGATAGCGGTTGGTGTAAGACCAAAGAGTATGGCGAATTCTCGTCGTCGTGTCCACCGTCCGCTTTTCGCCCTCAACCAGCGCCTGAGGGTTCCGGTGGGACTGCGGAGGCATCATCCGCCTGATGACGGCCCAGATCAGGAGTATGCCACCGATAGTGGCCCAGATGACGCCGGTGTAGATCATGCCAACATCGTGGGCATTTTAAACGACGTCGAGGTATCTACAGGACCCAGGATCATTGACGCAGGGTACCACGCGGTCAGCGTAGCCCCAGTGATGGATGACAGACTCGGCGGCATCGTGATCCTGAATATGCTGGCGCGGTGCCAGGAGGCTCTTGGTGGCCTCCATTGTGTATTGTTGCGAACGCGTCTCTATATGCGCCGGTAGTAGGTGAGAGACACTTGGCCAAGGGGCGTTTATGACTATGTCTCGGGCCGATGCTGTGTGTCTCGGGAGAGATCTCGACACAATCGCAAGACAGCAGGAAAAACCTAGAAGGCGGATCAAAGCCTCGTGGCGATCGTCGGAGAGAGATGGGAGCACCTTAAGACAGACATGCTCGAGCAACTTTTCGAGTGGTGTTTCGTGTCTGCTTTATCAGGTTGGTGGGGTGTCTGGCCCCTCGTCTCGACACTGGGAGCTTGGGTAGCCAAGGCGGCGGGCGGCGATCCACAGTGAGCAGGTTTATTAGTCTGGAACTCGGCGATGCGACGTGGTGGGTGTAGCGCGTTTATTCCCCGGGCTGGCCAAGGGTCCAATGCCCGCCCCTCTGACGGGGGTGGTTGAATTGGAGTTGCATGCTGCATTTTTGACTCGAGCAGATGACTGGACGTCCTTCTGATCGATATTGGTGCCCAGGCCGACAAGCTGCCATGGGGCTCTTCGCTGCTCTGTCTGCTGGCTTGGTCAATAGAGGCATTGCCCGATCCAGAAGACGAACCAACGGAGGCATACCTCCTCGCCATATGGCCACGGCAATCGGGAGGCGTGCCATGTGCAGGAGTAGATCTTGGGGAGCCCGCATGAGGCAACTCGGAAGAGGCGTCGTCTGGGCGTCAGCAGGCGTCGGCGGGGATTCTCTCGATCGTCTTCTTGGTGGTTTTCCCTGGTCGAAGTTGCTTCAAGGCAGTCGCCGCCAGCTGTGACCGCCCGGGCGACTGAGCACGATTGAGCAAGTTAGTGGGGCCGCTATGGCGCCACACCTTGCATCTGGAAACAGCGACTGACCGAACCACGGTGCTTCTTGGACCCCGGGGGCGCTGCGTGCGGATCCGATCCACCGGGGCCGTTCATCGGAGCGAGCAAGTTTCTGACCAACCAGCAGCGGACCGTAGCTGCTTAGCCCCGTCCTTCTCCCATTTCCTAGGACCAAAGCACATCAGATCTCCCACACGACCAGCCCGCCCCAAGATGGCCCAGGGATTTTGATCTTTGTCCCAGGGTCTCCAAGTCGCCACGACTCCAATAAGCTCAAACATCGGGGGCCCCCCTCCCTCTTGCCCCTGCTAAACTTGCGCAACGCCATGAACCCAGGCCCTCTTGGAAAACCTGCGCACCCAATGCCGCGCCTTCAATGCCTGTACACCATCCGGGTTAGAGCTCTCTTACTACCCCACCATTGCCCGATTGCCCGACCAAGGGAAGGTGCGAAGGAGGGGGGCGCAAGGGCAAGGGCGAACATTGGCGGCAGTGGGCAACCTCCGTAGCCCCTGCCACATCTTATCTACCCCGACACGCCAGCAATGTTGGGCAGGTTCGGCTGAGAGCTGCTGCTTCGCGACTCTCGCAATTCGCAGCTTGACTTCTTCCTGTCCTCTCCAAGTTGCAAGCTTCAGCATTTCTTTTGACTGACTCCTCTTGACTGGTCATCATCACCTTATCTTCATCCCCCATCCTCACCCAACGTATAGCACCTTCACACTCTGCCGCCATGTCGCACAGCAGCGGCCACGGCGCGACCGCCGACTGCAAAGTCTCCGTATGTCCAGCTGCCCCTCGCCTTGCATGGCCATGGCCCTCGCTCGCTCGCTCGCTGACCACCAAACCACCAGATGCTTTGGAACTGGTACACCATTGACTCCTGCTTCCTCGCCGAGTCCTGGCACGTCGGCAGCAACGGCGCCTTCGCTGCCAGCTGTATTGGCGTCGCCCTCCTCACCGTGACCCTCGAGTTCGTCCGCCGCCTCGGCAAGGAGTACGATGCCCTGCTTCTGCGTCAGTTCCACGCGCGCGCGGCCCAGATGGCTGTCGCCGCCGCCGTCGAGCCCTCGTGCTGCGACGACACCGGCGCCGTCGCCCGTCCCAGCGCGCCGCTCATCTTCCGCGCCTCGCCCGTCGAACAGCTCATCCGGGCCGTGCTGCACACGACCTTCTTCGGCCTGGCCTACATCATCATGTTGCTCGCCATGTACTACAATGGCTACATCATCATCTCCATCCTGCTCGGTGCCGGCCTCGGCAAGTTCCTCTGCGACTGGCTCGTCTACAAGGTGGAAACTGGGGCCGCCACGCAACAGGCCAAGGGCGTCGAGGAGCCCACTGGATGCTGCGGATGAGCAGCGCGAATGCTCTATGAGCGACGCGCAGAGGAGGGGAAAAAGAATCATCTGTCATTTAGCGAGCATCCATCTTTCGAATTGAATACCCACGTTCCTAGCGAGACGCGATCAATTGCAAGTTTTCATCATGCAGTCTATCTGCTGAGCGAGATGTAGGTGACTGAGCATCGCCGGCGCCGACATCACGTCTTGTCCTTGTCCTCTTTTGTCTTATATACATCCCCATCGCAATACTGAAACCACCCATCCAGATCTAGCCCCTTCATGACGGTGCTGAACCGGCCCGCGCCCTTCGCCTTGCAGGCCCGTCGCCGCGCATCCTTGTCTTGCGCCCCCGTTTTCGCCATGTCCGGGTACTCGATGTGGAACACGGCTTGCCGGCGTCCGTGACGGCCTTGTACAGGTCGCACTCGCTGTACGCGGCGCACTCCTCCTTGACAGAGAAGTCAATGACGGGGAGCACATTCTTGATGATGCTGCCGCCGTTCTTGAGCCCCATGGCTAGTCCGCGTCTCCGTGCTTCGAACGCGAGAAAGCTGATGCAGTCGATCGAGTCGGCTGCCGTCAGGCCGAGCCCGTTGCGGTTTGTCTGAACAAGCCAGTAGACAGACTTGTTCATGTAGTCATCCTCCGCCGCGCAACGTTCAAATCCCAAGACAGCCGATGACGAGGCCGGACGCATCAAGCCGGAAACAACCAAGCACGAGGGGAAAAGGCACATACAAACCCATCCACATTATCCGGGTCAACCCCATCAAACCCCTTGTCCCTCGCCAACTCGATCCGCCGCCTCATGACCCCCCCTGACCGTCTCGCTGTTCGTGTCAAGCCAGTACTCGCCCGGCCACCCCTCGAGCTCGCGCCCCAGATCGCCCCCCTCGCCCGCGTCAAAGTCCCCCGAGTCGGTCGGGCCGTCCTCGTACGACCCGGCGCTGAAGTAGCAGACGACCCTCTTGCCGAGCGCCGCGAACGTGGACGCCTGGTCTGGTTCGCGAACAAGTCGACGTCGAAGACCTCGACGTCGGGCGTCACGGCCGGGGCCTGCGGGTCGATGGCCAGGGGCCCGTCGAGGAGGATCTGCCACGTCGTCCCGGCAGCGGGCTGCTAGGGCGTCTCGTCGGCGGGGTGCTGCCTGTGGCGGGCGACGGCGGCGTTGAAGGTCGCGAGGGCGGCGGCGCTCGCGGCCGGGGAGGATGCCGCGAAGGAGAAGGCGGTGCAGAGGTCCATTGGTGTGGGAGGCCGTGTTGAACGGGTGGATCTGTCAGGTATTCAGGGGGCGGTGGTGGTGTTGCGTGCGTCCAACTGCGAGCTGTGATGGGGAACGGCGACGAGAACATGGGATCGCAGTGTATGGGATGTTGGCATCTTCGTATTATGAGGGCCTCCCCCTTTATCAATCCATGCCATCGCGTTTCATACACAACCATGGTCCTCCATCTAGGCTATCAACGGCCTCATCAGCCGCAGCCGCAGCCGCAGCCGCAGCCTCGCACCGCAGCCTCCCCGCGTGGCCTGAAGATTCGCCTTACCCACGGCCTACCAGTTAGCCATGGCCAGTCGGGCTTCCCCAGATGTCAGGTCTGGAACACAAACGACCACGACGCTAACGTGTATAGAGTTGAACAGGCGCTTGTTCTGCACACTGAATCTCGACCATGGAGTGAACACTGAACCATCGTACATGTATTATCCTCATCCCCGCCAGCGCATTATCATTTGACATCAGTAACAACAAGTAGGTATCATATGGCCTCTCCGGGCCTTTTTTGGCCAGAAGGCCTTTTGTGTTCCTTGCCCTCCCAGCTGAGCCCAGCACATCCATCCATGCATCCTCTCCCCCACTGCGTTGCGTCTGTGACCATTCATCCAATGTACACAACCCGCGCAAGCCTTCCCACCGTCGCGCCAAAAACTCCGGAATCAATCAAACAAGTGGTCACAAAATCGCATGACCAAGATCAATGACCAATCAAGACATGTACTTGCCACCCTCCTGCTTGAACAGCCAGTCGCTGTTGGCATCGACCATAAAGTTCGTAATGTTGAACTCGTTGCTCGGCGGCGGCGGCGGCTGTGGCGGCCCTTGAGGCGCATCGCCGCTGCTGCCATCCATGCTTGGTGGTGCACCGTTGTTCTGGGGCATTCCTTGCACACCTGCAATTTGCTCGCCAAAAGGCAGCCTTGGGACGTTGAAGAAGTCAAAGACATCTAGGTACTCGAGCTCGTTGGGCGCCGGCGTTCGTGCTGGCGTCACACTCGGCATGCGGCTGTGCGTGATGACTCCATTGGGGCCCGGCTGCCTGGAGATCAAGAAGTCGAGGTCGAACGCGGTGCGCCGCATGTCTGAGAGGATCTTGACTGAGCTCGGCGTCACACCGTCTCCGGTGCGCTCGCTGTCGCGATGCTCATCAAGCACTCGCTGCAGCAGCTCGCAGTATCGCGCCGCGACAGGCCAGTAACGGCCCATCTCGCGCAGGCTGTCAACGAAAAACTGAATCTGCGGTGACAGCTTGTGTTCGACCGTCGAGCCATGGACTAGGAGTAGACGGGCCGCTACCCACAGAGTAAAGGCGAATGGAGGCCCCAGCTTGGGGAGTAAGCCGTTGTTCACGACGAACTCGCCGAGCGCGGCAATATTCTCGACGGCACCATGGCATCGTTGAGATGCGCTGTACGAGGGCGTGAATATGGGAGATCGGGTTGTGGGGTACGCCGCCGACGAGTGCAGCCGGATGACGGCGGTATGGTAGGTGGCGTGCAACATGACCCATCCACAGTTGAGTGTCTTGTTTCCGGGCTGGAACAGTTTGGCCATGTTTCCGTATTCCCCGGGCAAGCCAAACTTCCAAGACGTCAACATGTTATCCAGCTCTTTGTAGCGCATCTGCCACTGCTCGACGTCGCTCAGCGCGCTGATGTCTACGGGCAGCTTGAGAAATTTGTGCACCTTGGAGAGGATGGCCAAAATCTCAATGTAGTAGGAGAAGGCACCAAGGTTCTCCGGCTTATTGACATCGTATTCCGGATTTGGCTCCTCCTGCTCCTGCAGCCTGAACCATCGCGTCTCGACCTTTTGGTTCTTGATCCACAGGTCGTCGCGACAAGGGAGCGTCCTGTCGATCTCCTTGTCGTCGAGCGCAAACTCGAAAGCCGTGGCGATAGTCGCATAGCGGTCGAGAAGGTAAATCATCCAGAACAAGCGTCGCCTCGACTCCTCTTCAATAAAGTCTTTGGGTTCCGGCAGTATCATGGCTCTGAGTGTGTAGATCGAGGTGAAGTTTGGGGAGACGGAGAACGAGGTGCTCTCGACTGCGAGTCCCAATTGGACGACGGAGCGCGTGATGAGAGCCATGATGTTCCAGCCAGGTGGGCCGTTGCTGCTGCCCACCAGATCCAGGGCCAAAACGACCAGTGCCTGGAGCGACTTGACCGACGAGTGCTCCATGCCGTAGAGCAAGACGCGCTGTTTCGCAATGGAGTGGTAGTGCTCCCTGCTCTCTTCGGTGAGCCTCGAGTCGGTCGAGTATCGCAGCGTTGTGGCCACAATGGCATGCAGAAGTATGCGATCCGTCTCCTCGACGGTCGTGGGCCCGAACAGCGAGTCGAGTGTTGTCTTTTCTGTGGAGGATCGGGCACCACGTGTTGATGTGCTTAAAGTATAAGTCGACGAGCGCATAGAGCAAATCGTATGGCGGAAGGTCTTGGTCCGGCGTAGCGTTGCTCTGGCCGGCCTGGGTCATGGGCACGTCGGGAGAGTGAAGCTGGTTCGTCTGGTTCGGGTTGTAGTAGGCCTGCGCGGCCGAGCTGGGCTGCTGCATGTTGGCGACCTGGTTCGGGGCGGGCATGGAGCCCATGGGTAGCTGAGGCTGGAATTCGTGCATCGAGGGAGTGGGCGGCGGCATGCCAAACTCCATGGGTTGCGAGGTGGAGGGGTAGGTGGAAGGTTTCTGTAAGAAGAGGGCAGTCTCAGCTTGCGGCGTACGAGTAGGTTCCGAGGGTCGGAATACGTTGTTCTCCCTAGGGGTGCCATGATCGCTAGGCAGGCTGGGGTTGCTGGCGCGCACGCTGGGGGTGGCATGGCTATGCGGCGCCCCGTGGTGATGCTGGTGCTGGCCCGAGGTCAGGGAGGCCTGGAGGATCTCGGCGTGCGCTCTGAGAACCTCCTCCAGCTTGTCGAGACGCTGCTCGAGCTCGCGCCCGTAGCCGGCACGCAGACCAGGCTTCTTTCTCTCCTTGTATTCGCAAATGGCACCATTGCGACTGCACCAGCCGCAGGAAGGTTGACCACGGTCACATTTCACCTGTGGTCCGTGTTAGGAGAGGGGTCATTGTCTGCTTGCGTGGTACTGAGAATGGATTCGCATGTCGATCAGGGGTTCAAGAGGAGGGCGGGTACGGTAGCTCACCTTTCTCTGCTTGCACAGCTCACATCTTGGGATCGGATTAGCTTCCTGACCTTGGTCGGAGGGGACATGTTCGGGCGAGGGTGTCATTGGGGAGGGTCATGAACGAAGGTCAAGAGGGTCGAGAGGACTCGGGCGAGGGCGAGGCTGGGAGGTCGGAGGAGTGGGCAGACGCATTGGGGAGCGAGATGACGAGATGACGGGGCGACGAGATGTGACGAAGATGACCAAGGAGAGAAGCATGTGGAGAGAGGAGCAGAGAGGGGAGGGAGAGCAGAGACTGTGGGGACAGGAGAGGCAAGGTAAAGTGAGGTGTAGTGAGATGATGGAGAGGGGGGCAGAAAGGGGAGGGAGGGGTGGTGGCAGCGGGAACGGGAGGTTGAAGACCGAACCGCCACAGGGCAGGGCAAGGCAAGGTAAAGCAGGGCAAGGTAAAGCAGGGCAAGGTAAAGCAAGGCAAGGCAAGGCAAGGCCAGATGAGGCCGGGTGCGTGAAGCAGAGCTCGGGTAGAGGGAAACAGGGCAGCAGGTTGAACGTACGAGACGGAGATGGGCCTCTTGCGCTTTCCCAGGCGCAGAGGGTCCTGATCGTCCTGGTCGACATCGTTGTCGTTGTCGTTCTCGTCGGCACTGTTGAAGCCATGGCCGTCTTCGGAGTCGTGATCGTGGCGGAGGAGCTGCTGGTGGTGATGGTGGGTAGTAGTAGCGCTCTGAGGCGACGGGTTATGGCCGTTGGAGGTCTGCATGCTCATGCTCTTCGGTGCGTCGGGCGGCTCTCGACGAGGCTGCGACGTCAAGGAGCGACACGTCGAGACGTCAAGCTCGGTGGGAAGGGACAACAGGGCCCGGCGCCGATGCGGGATCGGATGCGATGATCGGGGGGATCAGGGCGAGGAAGCGCAGACGCGAAACAGGCACCGAGCAACCAACAGCACGGCAACAGAGGTGAATCTCGGCGGGCGGCGCGAGGCAGGGCAAGGAGGATGCGTATGAGCGACCTGGGCCTCGGGGTAATGTGAGCAGAGAGAAGA